TTCCTTTCAGTACTCAACTCACACTTTCTGTTCATATCACCTTGAATATCATTTGTTTTACCCAAGTTATTGATTTCTAGTTTCTGAGGAGTTGACAGTGGCTGCTCATTTTGCAGGTCAGATTCATCTCTTTTGGTGGAAACCACACAGGAAAAAGGATTTCCAGGAATTAGACTGTTATTAATGACAGGGAGAGCATCTTTCAGGTGATTTTCAGTATCTCTAGGCTTCATGCTTGTAGTTCTAATACTATTGTCAATTTTCTTTGTAATGCATTTTGAATCAAACCAACCAGGGGGTTTATTGAGATCATTTGGTCCACTTCCCTCAGAACCATCTTCTAGCTGAAACAAATTACCAGAGAAAAAAGTATTGCAGTTGGATCTGTTACACCAAGCATTCAATTGGCCAATCCGTTGACCATAGCTTGCAAGTACAGTATCCATCCCTTCTATTCCAGGTTCTCTTACTCCATCAAACATGGTCGTGTTTTCTTTTACATCTTTGGCAACCAGAATTTCTTCTCTTAATTTCAGGTTTCTCCATTCTATGGCAAGAGATCGTAATTTCTGCTGCAAATCTACTGATACATCAGCACACTGCTCAAGGTGTTCACAAATAAAAGCTGAGTTCAGCACCTCATCACATAAAAACTTTAGCAAGAAGATCCTCTGCACCCAAGATAAAGAAAGCCATAAAGGAACATTAAACTTTACATTACAAGTAAAAAATAAGTTTTTTTTTTTTTTGTTTTTTTTTTGTGATCAGAACATGTACAAAGCCTTACATAATTAGGTACTGGACAAGGCAAGTATTTTCTTTGTACAACCCAAATTCCACTTTGACTAATTTCATACAAAAAAAGATTAAATAAATAAAAGAGCTATAAGGTAATATTCTTGAATAACTTTGTGCCACCGCCCATGAGTATATCCTTCCCCAGCTACCTTTTAAAACTGTAACTACTGTACTGAACTTGTTTTCAAAAAGCCTCCTATTTTTTCTGTCCAAATTGACCACAATACTGGAAAACCTTTCCTTTCCTCAATAAACCACACGCATCTCAAGTCCATAGTAATGCCAACAGGTCTCTTGGGAAACAGAGCTGTTACTCCAAACACCCTCAAAGATTTCATCTATATCTCCCATGCAAAACAGCAGTGCATGAAAAGATGCTCCACCCCCTCAGAGTTTTCACCACACACCACACATCTACTAGGTTCAACCACCAACCCTCTCTTTGATAAGTTATCACATGTTAAGCACTTCCCCAAAACCGCTACCCACATAAAGAAACTTTGAGGGGAGCTGCAGATCTCCAGACCCTGTTTTCAGGAAAATTTGCCTTATCATTGCAAACTCTGTTATAAAAGGATTTGATTATGAAAATTCCAGATTTCTCCCCAACCCAAATTCTTTTATCACTTCTTGCACTGTCCAATCTGACTGTACTTAAGTTTTGCATCAGTTCCTCCCACTGCTCAATTTCCTGATCTTTTTTTTTT